GAAAGAGAGTTTTGAGCAGGTCACATTAAAGCTCCAGTTCATATATCTGACTGCTGTATCAAAGAACAATATTGTATTATAAATAGTGTATAAATATGAATATATGTATAGATTTTAATTTTTAAAAATCTTGTCATGAAGAAAAAATCTAATTCTGTATGGGAATATACCGAATAGAACCGAATCGATGGCATGATAATCGTAACCGAACCAAACCGTGAGCCCAGTGTAGATTCACACCTCTACTCTTTACAATTACAGGGCTTTTCTTGGCTTCTGCATGGACGGCGCCATAGTGACCAGCGTCTGCAGGTAAAATGTTTAAAACTTCCTTTTACAGTGTTTACAGCCGGTAATTTGCGATCTGAAAATGGGTTAATAGCGTTTAGAGTGGATTACGGAGTGTTTTTGTGACACACAACTTTGAAAGGTGTTAAAGCCGTTATCTGTCAGGTCTGTGGTTCAAGCGTGAGGGAAAAACAGTATGGTGAGCCGTGTTTCTTTTCACTCTGCTTAATCACGTGCTCCAAAAAAGATATTTAAAATAAACAGAACAATATGATGTCTTTTGACTGCTTTCTTTAATAACTACACCACACAATACTTGTACTTTTACTTTCAGCACTTGAGTAGTACATGTTGAAATAAACTACTTGCAATACTTAAGTACAAAAAATGTTGAATACTTTAGTTCTTCTACTTCAGTATGGTGCTTAGAGAGCACTTCTACTCCTACTCAAGTCACTTTTAGATAGAGGACCTGTACTTTTACTAAAGTCTGCGTCTCTAGTACTTCATACATCTCTGTCCGTTGCAGTATGTGAGCTGTATGCAACATATTTTATACATTTCTAACTCTTGGATTTATCTTTGAGTCATTGATGAACATTTCTGAATTGGCTTTTATTCTTTAAATGTGTTATCGGCACACTTTCATCTGGAAAATAATAATTGGCTATTAGTTAAGCCTGCATCCTCTGACTAACTTCAGCATGTCGAGATCCTGTCTGTGAGCATGTACACAAACCCCAGAGCGTGACAGCTCAGTGCAGCACTGGGTATAACTGCAGAGAATGGGCTCAGATATAAATCAAACTCTAAATTGAGTCATAAATGATGAAGGTGATCCAGTCTTACAATTAGAAATACAGTCTAAATGTAGGAGTCAGATTAAATTCAGAGACAAAACAAAACAACTATAAATAAATTCTAATAACAGATTTCTTAGAAGAAGCACTAGGAAAGGCTCGCAGGCATTAAACCTTCGGCCATGCTGTTAGTTTGGTCATTGGGCTAATAGATGATCTTCTACACTGCTGAACCCATCATCAGCGAGAAACATCCCCAACGACATCTCTGCAGGATTTCTGGCACTTCTCTGATCATTATTACCGTGAGGAGTCTGTGTGTTATTTACCATTCATCAAGATGAAGATCACTCTCTCTCTGAATATCATGTTGTTTCTGATTATCATTATTATTGATATTCTCCACAACAGAGAACAGCTGAAACATTGTGCAATAGTAAACAGATCCTGAAGTTTCACATATCCTACATTAATATAGGAATAAGCTCAACAGAAACCCTAGCATTGCTCAAACATCACTATGGTCTTACTACAGGAACACTAGCAGGAACACTAGCGTACTGTGGGATGGTCATGCACACTAAACCAGCCCAGAATGTGTTATGTTTAATAGACTGATGCTCAACACAGAGTGCACTTTACCCTCAGCAGATTAGCTTTACGCTTTGCTAGCTGTGATGATGCTAACAGACGCAGGTAAGGCAACAGAGCAGCTTAATGCTAACAGTTAACACTAACCCTAACAGTTAATGCTAACGGTTGAGGCTAACTGTTAGACTCCCTGCAGACTATGTTTAGCATTTGCTCATTGGGAAGCACTCAGCCCTCAGAGCTCACCGGCCCCCAGGAGCCCTCGCTGCAGCAGAGAAGGGGAACTAGCAAACATTTAAAGATCAGTGTACACCCGAGCGAGAGGCCGTCACAGCCGATCATGCAAATACTGTAGTCAAATGATGGATGGCAGGATTACACTGACATTAAACACACACACACATCACACATACACACACCTGTCACACACACACACACACACACTGCTGCACTCTCACATCAGGTCTGTGTTTGGACGACACACAGAGCCACTTCTATTTCTACAGTGATTATACAATTTAGATTGTGTCAAAGCCACTGATAAAGTGGTACAGCAAAAACAACAAACACAAAAACAACAACCACAACCACAATAACAACAACAACAAAAACAACAACAACAACCACAACTACAACCACAACAACAACCGCAACAAAAACAACAACAACAACAACAACCACAATAACAACAACTATTACCACAACAACAAAAACAACCACAACAAAAACGACAAAAGCAACAACCATAAAAACAACAACCACAAAAATAAACAACAACTACAAAAAACACCAGTTTTTTCAGTTCAGTCACGAAACACCAGAACACATGTGTTGAGCTGTTGACAGTGGTATATGTGTCCCACACTGCTAAAAACACTATTAGGACACCTATATTTCACTAAAAAGTGTAAATTGGTTGTTTTTGCGTTATTTCAAGCAAATTCGTACTTCCTGTTTGAAACTAATATTTGAAGCTGCGTCACGGTCATGAGATAATAGCCTGTATTCCAGCGTGCAGACTGGGCGTATGTGCCAGAGTGTGTCTTATTACGTCTTACAGTGTGCTGCATTAATGCATGAGTAAAGCTTGGTCAAACCAATCAGCGCGCTCTATTGTGCAACTTCATTAATATTCATTACTGTCACAGTGTTTACACCACAGAGATGCCACGTTGTGTTGGCAAAACAAGCGTGAAGTGTTGCTTTTATAGTTTGCTGCAGTGAAGTTTCGTTTTCATTTTCTCTCTGTGAGAGCTCAGAGTCACGTGTGGATTACAGTGTACGCGACGCGCGACAACAATAACTTACGTGTCTAAGGAGGATTATTGTTTACCTGAGAGCTGTTCTCATCTGCAAACGCTGAGATCCGGATTCGCTTGTAGTCTCCTCTTAATAAAGACGCGGCTCTAGTTGCTGGTGATTGTCCTGTCTCTACAGATTTGGTAAGTGAGCGTCCAGTGCTCTTTGTTTATTCAGTTTATTCGTTTTGAACTAACTATTGCACCGAGTGTAAACATGTTAGCATCACAACCAAACTTTAACCTCGTGTAGGATTTTCACGCATTTAGTGACCGAAATAACACACGCGGCTTTCTGACACTACCTGTCGTGTGCATCTAAGTTTCCGGGAAATGCTGAGGGTTTTTTCTCTCATTCGCCGTGCGGTATCAAACATTGCATGAAAAATACACGCTTAGAGCAGATCCTCCAATCAAATATCTCGTTTGTCGTGAGGGGCATGAATGAATTCCCTGAATGAAAGAGCCAAACTGCAGTTAAAGTCCACCATTTAATCATTTGGCAAATCATTCGACTACAGATGTCCATGTAAACACAGTCACATTCTCCCCTGTGTGTGTACGTGTGGGTGTGTACGTGTGTGTGTGTGTGTGTTTTGAATCTGAAACTCGTGTGTGCCCAAATAGACACTCCCACATTATCCCTCTTTTCTTCCTCCGACACTCCCCCCTAATCAGAGCTGGACACGCCCACTTTTCTGACTTTTTCCAAAGTAGAGGTGTGAAAACACCCTGCTGAAACAAGAGGGGGCGTTTCATGGCACAAACAGTGTGTGTGTGTGTGTGTGTGTGAAAGAGAGAGAAACAGAGTGTGTGTGTGTGTGTGTGTGTGTGTGTGTGTGTGTGTAAGGCTAGGGACAGTTTTGTTGCTGTTTAAGAACCACTTTTCCTGGTTGGGGTTGTTTTATGCAAACGAGCTCCCTCATTAGATTAAGCTGAAGAGCAGAGGATGTCTGGTGCGTGCTGTAAATAAGCTGGAGGTTAGTCAGTGAGCCGCTAGAGTGAGTGCAGACGTGGTCATCATGAATCTGCCTCATCAGTTTACCAAGGCTGCGGTGTGTGTCTGCATTCACACTGAGTGGGGAACGACTGCTGAATGTGGATTTTACAGAACGTTCTCAAGCCCTGAGCAGAAAGCCCAGCGCTTTCTCACCTCTGTGAAGATGGCACCTCATTAAACAGATAATCCCAAACTCTACGCCATCTACTTGTGCTGATTTGGGCTCTGAGAGATTAGGCTTCGTTTGTTTTTGATCGTGTGACGTCACTTTCCACCCCACGATGCTGAAATGACTTCAGATCAGCACAGGGTGTTTGTGCTGGACTTGTGCTGTTAAAATAAACACTGGATCTGTTTTCCTCCTTTAGATATAAGCTGAATATTTCGGGAGCCGTGACGTCACTCTCCACCACATTTCCTCTAAATCACACCAAACTGGTGTCATTCCTGTGTGCTGGATTTGTGCTGTTAAAATAAACACTTCGTCTGTTTTCCTTGTTGAGATATAACCTAAATATTTGGTTAGATTTGTGCTGTTGGAATAAACATGAGATATTTACATTCGTGCATGAATATATTATTTTCATTTGCTCACAATTTGTGCTTATTTTCTGCAGCAAAAATATTATTTGTGGCCTAAAATAATGTACGCTGATTCAGAGGTCTCTCGACCCCAGCTGCTCCACATTTACCTGAATAGCCTCGTCTGTGTGAGCTTCATTTGTGCTGGACTGTACCTATGAAAGTTTTGTTAGTGCTGCTTAATTCTTCTATTAAAATATCGAGCCACACCACATGCATGATATTCTAAAATATTTTAATTTGTTTGTGCTGACAGAATTTTCATTTGTGATGCTTTATTTTTGAGATATGAATATAGCCTAAGCCAATATGTTATTGTGAGAAAACAGTCAGGAGGAGCTTTTAGAGATGAGGAGAAACTGAGCAGAAGCAGGTGGATCTGTGCCAGACCTTCACTAACACTGAATCAGCTCGTGGACTGAGAGATCTCCCTCTGCTTACCTTATTCTGGTCAGTCCAGTACAGGTAATATCCCTGTGGATCCACATACAGCGTCACCGGAGTCCCTGAGGTGCAGTCCTGAAACACACACACACACACACGAGGGTTAACATGGCTGTGGAAGAGTTCAGATGTGCTGTGTGTTTATAATATTAGATAACTAAACCTGATGAGATCTCTGAACTGTCTAAGCACTGATCAAATCAACAAACAGAAGAGCTCCAGAGAATCCTCATCAGCCAAACCTCTGCTGCCGTGACCCTTCTGCTGTTGTATTTGTTAAGCGTGGCTCTGTTCTTACAGCTAAAATGTAAATCCTCGTTTTTCAGCATCATTTCAGTATTTCTCAATCATTTTCCTTCAGTTTTGTTCAGTTATATATTCTTCTTTTGCGTTTGAGAGGTGTTTAGTCTTATTAGTGGCGGTAATTAATATAGTTTTTACTACTAAAAACATGCATCTAAATATTAAATGTACAAAAGTTGACTAATGCAGTGTTTCCGGTTAAAGGTGCGCTGAAATAATGTTGTGAGGTGATATCTGAAAGCAGAACAGAGAGAGGGCGAGAGGGCGACGCAGTGGCGCAGTAGGTAGTGCTGTGGCCTCACAGCAAGAAGGTGTCTGGTTCGAGTCTCGGCTGGGTCAGTTGGTGTTTCTGTGTGGAGTTTGCATGTTCTCCCCGTGTTGGCGTGGGTTTCCTCCGGGTGCTCCGGTTTCCCCCAGTTCAAACACATGCGGTACAGGTGAATTGGGTAGGCTAAATTGTCCGTAGTCTATCAGTGTGAATGGGTGTGTGTGGATGTTTCCCAGAGATGGGTTGCGGCTGGAAAGGTATCCGCTGTGTAAGAATGTGCTGGAGAAGTTGGTGGTTCATTCTGCTGTGGCAACCCTGAATTAATAAAGGGACTGAGCTGAAAATGAATGAATGCATGAATGAACATGCTGAGAGCACAACTCCTGCTGATATCCGCACTACAGTCACTAGACACGCCCCCTGCTGCTGATTGGCTGCAGGTGTGTTTCGGGATTCTGAAAATCACAAGCGTTTTCCAGACTAACTCTAAAACAGAGACTCTCGAGTCCATTTATGAAGGAAAAAAAGAAAGATAAAAGTGGAAAGTACTGTCAAGGGCATAGGTGTACACTTGACATTGGTGGGGACTGCAACTAATCATATATCAATTATTTATTTTTACATCTTATATATTTATTATTCTTTTCATTAATCATCTCTTCATACTATTTTTTTGGCCCATAGGCAAAGCTGGAAAGTGGGTAGCTCGAAAGACCAGCAGTAGGATTATTATTATTATTGATATTAATATTATGTTTGAATTATATTTAAATGGCCAAATTCGGACTCAGGGAAGCTGAATGTTCAGGTTAGTTTCTTGTTTGCCTGTAGGCTCTAGTTTTTAATTTAAAACCAGTTTTAACAAATTTCTTTAAAAACATTTAAATTAGTAATGATAGATGATAATAAATTTGTATTTTAAAAATAAGATTTTTTATATTTCTTTATTCTAAATTTTCATTATTTGTAAAACAGTAAAATAAAACTGACAGTGTAAATGCACATTTGTAAATAAACACTTAAAATAGTAAAATAGTGTGGCCAGCAATTTGACAAAATGGTAAGAAATATGTTTTGGTAAACACTGTGGTTATGATAACCATCCGACAAGCTAATCCAGCAACAATGAGTTCTTAAAATGACACTAAAATGCAATATTGATAATTAAATAGAAAGTCGGGCGAATATCTGCAAAATAAGCACCTTTTCAACCAGCTGGCTGATAGTGTAATGTTAAATATAATGTTTAATAACTGATAAAGAGTCTAATAAAGACTTCAGTTCATTCTAGCCATCAAGCATCTCTCATATATCAGTATTAATACAGCACTGCCGTTTTCCTGACAGACTTTTTCAACCAAAGTTGCACATGCTGCTCTGAGAGATGAGGAGAGCTGGCAGGGTCATAAACGTTTGCATTTCTCTGTTTATTCTGCAGTTGGTGTTCAGGGTGTAGAGTTCATTTCCCTGACTACATCAGCTGCTATAATGAGTTAAAGTGGGGGAGAACACGAGGACCAGGTCAGACTCATTCAGTAGCCAACTTTACCGTTACACTGAAAAACGCTCCGTATGTCCTCCTGTTGTGCTGACGCCATCCTCACTTGTGTGTGTCACACACTTTACACACCTTAAGCTGCGGTCACACTGGGCTTTTCCTCTCATAGACTTCCCTTTATACGCACGTGAATGCGTCAGACCGGGTCATGCGTTGAGTTTCGCAGGTTGCTGCGCTGCAAAGTTCAAGCTTGGTGAACTCTGACCTGCGAAATCACATCACTTGTAAACAGCGATGAGCAATGCAAATGAACGTGCGCAGTTATCAGTGAACGCCTGCTACAGAGGAGCGCTCAGGCTGAAGCTGCTCTCCTCAAACCCAAAGCAGCAGACTCTGCACTGGATTCTGTGCTTTAATATCTCTCCATCACCCTTTCTGACCAGCCGTCAGCTCAGTCTCCTACACAGAACTGTGGTTGTGTATCAGCTGTCCCATCACTATTCAGAAATAAAAATCTATTTGTGCCAGCTTTACAGACGTGGCTCACAGAGTCCCAGAGTCCTGGGGTCCATTCTTCGTACCTCGCTTAAATGATCTAAGATTATTGGGCAGATTCTGGATCTGTTCATCTTCATAACTGATCTCTGTCTAATTTGGTTCTTCAAACAAGTTTGTGAATCAGATTAGAATGTCTGGATGAACTGATCTGAGATCTGTGTGTGTTGTGAAGGACAGATCTATCGATCCTCGAAATCATGATCAGCAATGCAGCGATTGGCTGACGGCACAGCAGCATAATGACATCATCTGATTAATATTCAATTATCCATGAGAGCAAAATTACATCAAATTAGCAGTAAACCATGTGTTAAATATGACACGCAATAACCTTCCACATGTGTTGTGAGCTGCAGGCTTTACACTTTCATGTGTCAAGACAAGAGTATTCATCATGTATTTCAATGCATATCAGTGTATTTAGTTTTACATTTAGAAATGATTTTCTTTATTATAGTAGCCGTTTTTTAATCGGTGTAAAGAATAACTGGTTGTTTACAAAAGCATTTTGATATTGGTAAAGGCGTCTGCAACTTTTGTGAAGCATCAAATCACCGTCATATTAACTGTCAAAACATGTTTATGACTGCATAAATGTATTATTGCTTTAAAAAATGTCACATATTCTGCATTTCTATTATACACAATTTGTACTAAAGCGATCTAAAAAGTTCATATCAATAAATTTTGTCTTTGGACCACTAGGTGGCAGTCTTTGTACTTTCATTTCGATGGTGCAGATTGCATAAGTTTTATTAATATATATAACTTTATTTATTTTATTAATAACTATAACTTTATTTATATATATATATATATATATATATATATATATATAGTTTAAAAAATATTTACTCTTTTCCCAAGTGTATACAACTACTGTAAGAAAATATCAGAATTGGGAACATACTTTCTGTATTTTCTTTGCTTGAACTGAGCCGATCTAATCCTGTTTATATGAATTGAACCTGCTCCCGATCAGGTTTGAGCTAGCAGTACTGTTGCCATGACAACAACTCTCGGATCAGCTTTGAAGAACGAAACGATCCTGGATCGTGTCAAATCGTCAATATCCAAATCCAGCTAACTGAGTAATCCACATACGAAGAACGGACCCCTGGCCAGGGCTAAACTTATGTAGATTAAGACATTGAATCTCCTTGTAGAAAAACTTCCCCTTTGTGCATCTCGAGACAAAACAATGCTCATAATATCAATCAGCAGATCAGCAGTTTCTCCAGCACGCAGAGCAGCCCATCTGCCGATCCCATTTCATTGCTTTACTATTATTATTGTTGAGAATTGAAGAGCTTTTTCTGCTGCAGTTTTTATTGATGTTCCAGGAAATAATGTTTTAGACATGATTTACCTGTTGCTCCAGTTTACTGTAGCTTCTGTTCAGCAATATATCTGGTAACAGGCCTTTATCAGCATTTTTAAAGGTTACCGGCGGTCCAGTTACCTGCAGCAGTTCAGAACTCTGACTGTGGTTTGGTTTAATGAAGTTTAATTTCAGTGTGATTAATGCCTTTGCTAAATGCTTTACTAAAGGAAATAACAGTGTTTTCGTTTAGTCTTAGATGTAATTTCAAATTAATTCAAACAAATTGAAATTAAAGTGTCCCTCAACCCTGTTACGGTCTTCAACCCGGTCACTGTATTCTCAACGCTCTGACGTTCATATTCTTTAGAAAATAAAATAAGGAAAACAGCCAGCATTTAAAGGCCTAACATTGTGCATATGTGGTCTGAGGAAGATATCTCGATTAAAAACAGACCACAGAATGCATACGTGAAGTTTATCTATAAACTAATGTGGAGAGCATCACCTGCTTATGATTGCTTGCGGCCGGCCCCACATTATTCAATCTATGATAGACCAATCAGACGATTCCTAAGCCACTATAAACACCCTGAGCTCCATATCACAGCCATCTTCATTTAGAAGAATCCCCCCTTCCACCCCTACTCCTCCTTTCCTAGATGGGCGGCACGGTGGCCCAGTGGTTAGCACTGTTGGCCCACAGCAAGAACGTCACTTACCAAGCCAGCTGACGTTTCCGTGCAGAGTTTACACGTTCTCCCCGTGCTCACGTGGGTTTCTCCAGTTTCCTCCCACCGTCCAAAAACATGCAGCTTAAGTTAATTGACTAATCCACATCAGCACACAGACATGCTGCTAGTCAGTAGTTATCTCTTAAGAGCGATCACTGTCTGTTCATCAGCTACTACAGCAGGGGAGTTCTCCCCATCTACCTGAGCTCAAACTCCCCTCTCACCCTGCAAAAGGGAGGGAGCCCCGGGCTCGAGGATCTCATGAGCTCAGGGCTCTCTCCCGGGACAGCATGATGAACACGCTTTATGATCAATCATCATCTGAGGGTGAACTCTTGAAATTCTATAATTGTATCTTAAATCACATATAAATCTAAAACTCATCAGTGATGTTGTATTTTAAACATTAAACTGATTTGAGGGACACATGAGCGATGGGTAAATGCTGGTTTAATAGCAAAAGCTTTGTAAATACTATTATTAACAACTCAGTTCAGTCCGTTACGGGTCTGAGAATAATGGCTGTCCAAATAAACATAAAGCAGAAATTAATGTGAAGGCTGTAATGCTTGAGCTGGACAAACCTGAATGTCTGAAAGTTTAAATTGTGCCTAATTATATAAAACATAATCAATACACTAGTAAACATGAGTTTGCTCAAGCTGAAATATTACCGAATACCAGGAATGACCCAGATATATTTAAGATATGTCAATGCAGGTCAGATCTCGTTCAGGCAGCTCAGATGTGCTCAATCTTCTGTTTTCCCTTTAAATACAGAGCTTTCAGTGACATTCACATCTATCCAGAATCACCTGCAAGTGTGTGTGTGTGTGTGTGTGTGTGTGTGTGTGTGTGTGTGTGTGTTTGTTGTTTAGTGTCATCAATTCCTGTGTGTTTTAATCATTGTGGCTGATTTATGGCGCACCACATTCATTCTCCAGTCCTGTCTACCATCAGTCATTTCTGAGAAAGACCACTGGTGTGTGTTTATCCAGCAGAAATGAGCCTGTTTGAATGGTGCTCGAGACTTTGTGTTCGCATTTCACAACGTTTAAAAGTTTCATAAGGGCTGATGTATAACTATCCATTCATAAATCACAGAGGGGCTTCATGCGCACACACACACACACACAGCCAGCATGTATACATTTAGATGTGTCCATCCAAACAAAGAGCGCTTACACACTTTACCTGCGGCATTTGGAGGAAAACTGTGATCATACAAGTGTTAATCTACATATCTAGAAAGCAGATGAACTACACCTTCACTAGCAGAACATGGCTGATGTCTGTGTTAAGAGAGAGCTAGCTGTGTTCACTGAAGACACAACAGCACAGGAGACTCACAACATTAAATATGTCCATCCGTCATATCTCTATATTCAGCCCACTGCAGTCTGAACACTGCTGGACCTGTAGACCTGACACACACACACACACACACACACACACCTGCATCTTCATCGTCTAAAGCTGAATGGGTTATTTTACTCACATCATCCCACTTCATGAACTTCTCCCCGGTGCTGAGGCGCTCGGGCACGGTTGCGCGTCTGAGCTGGAGCGCGTGAACTCCCGGCTGCGCTCCGGCCATCGGGCACGTCTGTGTGTGTGTGCGTGTCTGTGTAAGTGTCTATGCTGTATGTGCGTGTGTGGCTCTGCGTGCCCTTCTGTCAGTGTGTGTCTGTACGCGCGGAGCTGCTGATGGACCTGAAGCGCGCAGCGCGTGCTGGAAAACTCAATGCTCGCCCCCCGCGCGCGCTCCCGCCGTGCATAGGCAGTCCGCGTGAAAACATCGAAAGGTGAGTCAATCCGTTTCCCGCGGAGACTCGAGCTATATATATGTTTTCTCCTTTGCTTTTATCCGTGAACAGATCTGGAGCTCCTAACCCTAAGCTGAACTAATCACGCGTGTTTATTATTGATGATGGCTTAGAGGATGAGCTAAAGCGGGAAAAGTGAGCTCATACACACGTTACAGGTGTTTATTCAGGTGACAGAGCAGCGCACATTCCCCCGTCCAGTCAGTTTAATAGATTTATTGATCATTTCACCCCGTGTTGTGTTCAGCAGTGCTTCATCTGTAATATAAAACTCATGATGAGCGTGTGTGTGTGTGTGTGTCACTAAAGTGAGCTCTACTACAGCTGTGTTCATCACTATACATCAATAATAAAGCATCAGTAAGTGTTACCGTGCTCTCCACGGTTATTCACAGCGTTAACAACACATAAACCAAAGTAAACATCTGGCTCAGTCCTCCATCAGCACTGCACTTTATAAGCTTCACTTTCTGAATATAAGGATAAATAAAGACGGTGATATCAGCCAGGCCATGTCCAACATCAGTCTCCATCTGTCTTCTTACACTATCATCATTGAGCTGGTCACACTCTACACTCAGGTTATATTGGTTAATATTATCTAATGTATTCACTAGCCTGAACAGACAATGAACATTACATTAATGAGTGTCTGCTCTTGATGGTTAATGGATATACAGTCGCTCACTGGTCCTGCATGTTGACCAGGGCAGAGCGGGGCACACAGCAACGCTTTCAGGTTTTGGGCGAATAATGAACATAGTAATGGGGTCAGGCAAACATTTAGTTTTTTTATCAATAACACACACTAGGAATGCAACGATTATAGATTTTAATTGTAACTGCGGAATAATCACGGTTGTCACGATTATTATGCATTCATTAATTTCCAAACACTGCTAGTTTAGTAAATCACATGAACACTTCTTATATTTGTCTATTGCTGCTCAGTAAGCAACTAACACAGCACAAATAACACACAATAGCCCATTTCCCTTTGCTGAAAACCCTTTTTGGCATTTAAACATCAGTAACAGTTTTACACTGAAAATAAACGACAGAACAATTAATGAATAAATAATTAAATAAAAATGTAAATAAATAATAAAATTGTGCTTGTCTAATGTAAATATAAGCTTCATACCAACACAATCTCACGGCAATTCGTAACTTTTTCATTTAGTGGCTAATTCGTACGATCTAATTCGTACATTTTAGTACGATTTGCTCATCCCCCAATGACGGTTGGGTTTAGGGGTGGGGTTAGGTGCCACGCCTCCTTTTTAAAATAGTTCAATTTCGTACGACTGAACTGTACGAATTCGTATGAATTAGCATCTAAAGCCGCCTTTCCACTGCACATGACATTTGGACATGACTGTCAGAATACGCCCCCTTGTGTTGTCGTAATACATCATATCCGGTCGGCAGGTCGCATACGGTCTTGTCGCAGGAGTTCAAATATTTCAACGGATCCGCAACTCAATTCAGATCTGAATTTTCCGCATACGGAGATGATGGAAACTCCACGCAGCTCACGGACTGCTCTCCATTAGAAATGAATGACTTCCTGTCTGTCGCTTGTCGTGTGCAGTGGAAAGGAGGCTTAACGTTAAACTGCCAAAACGTAAAATACTAACGTTTTCTCAAGAGATCAGGCTGTTCATACGTATCTGTACTGTAAATATCTTCCTTTAAAAGAGAACAAATGCAGTCAAAGGCAGCTGAACCTCTGTCTGAAAGGCACTTTTGATCTACTATATTGCACAATTGTTCAGTATTGTTCATTTAGTATTTTTCTTTATCTCTTTAATGTAGAAATGTGTATATTCCATGTAGAGTGAAGCTGATCTGTCATCATGTGATCTACATCTGTGAGCTGTAACATGCTTATAAAGGCAGATTTCACACTCTTAATTTAACTTCAACTGACTTTACATATCAGCCTTATTTCCTCAGTAATTGGTTCATTTGTTTTGTATATAGCGCTGTGTGTTTATTGATTTATCTACTGGATAAACACATTTCAATCTATTTGCATCATCCATTATTATACAATGCATTTATTTGCATTATTAGCAAGAATTTTTTATATTAAAACAAATATTTTCTATTAAAACACATTTTTATATAAAAAGTTCTCAACATTACACTCAAAGTGCATCAGTAATTGTGTTGGTTTAGTTGGTGTCCAACAGTGTGTGGCTTAATGAAGGGTGCGTTCACACCGGCCTTATTTAGTTGGATTGATTTGCACTAGAGTTTGTTTCCCCTGTTGGTGCGGTTGGTTTGGGCAGGTGTGAATGCAGCAATCGTACTCGAGTGTGCACCAAAAGCGGACCAAATAAGCGTACCGAGACCTGCTTGAAGAGGTGGTCTCGGTACGCTTGCAAATGAACCCTGGAGCGGTTCGTTTGTGGTGAGAATATGATCCGCACTAAAACAGGTCCAACCGCAAAAAGTGCTGCGCGTTTTGGACTAATCCAGCTGCCGTAGGCCGATGCGCTGTGCATTATGGGATATGGAGGAAGAATATTTGTTGACAGCGCTTTACCAACAGAGAGAGAGAGAGAGAGAGAGAGAGAGAGAGAGAGAGAGAGAGAGAGAGAGAGAGAGAGAGAGAGAAAACATTAGTTGATGGATCGTTGGTAATATTTCCGCAAGATGAGCATGTCGCAGTTTATCTAAATTAATTCACGCCTCCTCCTGAAGTGTCGAGCGATGCATTAAACACTGTTTTCCAGCCGCGGCCGTGCATCATTCTCAAAATGTATAGTTTGTTTAAAGCAGGGATACAATCAGCCAGTGCAGTCGTCCCTCCAGAGTAATAGCTACATGTTGTGTCTGCCGGTTTTGTTTACCTGCGGGAGTTCACTGGCATTTTCCCACACGTAAATTCTGACCAATCAATAAGCAGTTTAGGAAATATGTTCAACAACATCTGGCCAATGAGAGATGTGGATTTTGTCAGATGACTGCATTTTGGTTCATTTCAACTGGTTCGGACCAAAGCCAGCAGTGTGGTGTGAAAACGACCCAAAGACGGCAGAAGATGCAACAATGCATCATTATTGCCCTTGGTGCGGACCAAAAGAAGCGAACTCCAGATGTGAAAGCACCCAACACGCTGCTACAGCTAACCCTGCTGTGTCCTGTTTTCCTCAGATCTGGCTAGCAGCCACTGTGTTTCACATTTGCAAAATGGTTTCATCTTTTAGCCTAGAACAGGGGTTTTCAAACTGTGGGGCGCCCCCCACCCAGCACCTGCTAAAAGGGGGAGGGAGACAGAGGCGTGCACTCCAAGAATCTGTCTGCTTCAGAGGTGTTGCTCGCTGCAGAAGTTGGGACTTGCTCAACTTTTCAACCACCAATGGAAGCGTCAGCCAATCAGATCGCTGTATGCAAATACACCAGCTCAGACTGTGGCCTACTGAGGCTGCTATGAGGATCGGGTCAGCCCCAACTTCAGTCAAGCGTTGACGCTGAAGCCCCATGTGAATGGGGCGTAACTTTGTGCCCCGCACTCCCCTACTGTTAACAAGCATGAGCCGAATGCTGAACTATGATCAATAAGTGCTGTTCAAGTGCTGTTCACACTATTAGTTCAGGTTAGCAAGTACATTCATTAATGAAAGCTGATTGTAAAGTGTGGTCATCGCGTATCATAACAAGCCACTTATCTGTGAATACTTTTATATTCATGTTTTTATTTCTTATTTGTACAGTTAAAACAGTCCACATATTGTACATCACCCATCTAGACGCATGCATACTCTGTGCTGCTCACACTACTGTCCACTTATATACATCGTCACCCTGCAGTTATGAGGTTCTCTCTGCGTTCTGACTGGTTTTGAGATATTGAGCCTCAGACAGCATGTGTGTGACATCAGCTTTTAGATAAAAAGTCTTAAAATGTGAACAACTTAAACAAAAACGTCCCATAATGTAAATAATCTGTCAATTATTAAGAATATGTCATTAACTGATTTGCATGTCCTTCAGTCTCGTTATGCCCTTGTGTTTGAGTACAATCACAGAATCAAGAATTAAGCTTGTTCTGGTTATTTTGCATTGACCCACTGAACTGTTGCTTCCTTTACAGTCACAGTAAAGCAAAATGAGCCGGTGGGTTTATATAAACCAGGGGTGTCCAAACTGGGTCCTGGAGGGCCGGTGTCCGGAAGGGTTTAGCTCCAACTTACTTCAACACACCTGCCAGGAAGTTTCTAGTACATCTAGTAAGAGCTTGATCGCCTGCTTCAGGTGTGTTTGATTAGGGTTGGACATTCCTGATATCTTAACTGTGAAACACTGAGCTCACAGAGCTGCTGTGTCTAACTGTGGAGAAGAGAAATAGAAAATGTGCATTTATTATTCTCAAACTCGGCATCAGACCTCACATCATCAAGACTGCAGTGAACAACACACGAACTCTGGCGCCCTCTGGCGGAGCAAGCGAAACAGCACAGCTCAATCTCACTACAGCAGCTTAACCATTAAAGTTATGGTCACTAATAACCTTACCTTCTGATTTTGACTATACAAATAAGCTTGAACTGAATTGACGGCGTTTGCTGAATGGGAAGGCTGAGCTTTAAACATTTAGCTGTAAATAGCTGGACTCAATATATCCTGGCATGAGCACTGCTTCTGTCTGTTGTTTTTATTTATCATGCGGTTTCCTTTCCTCCGGGATCTGCTGTGCAGTTTGAGTAATTCTCCTAACAGACTTACAGATGCAGGTTTAAAGCTGTAGACTGAGTCGTATGTTAGTCTATACCTCTTATTGGGAGCAAACTGCAGTTTCAAGCTCAGGTGGAGAGCTGTGGTTCCACCCCATGAGCTTGTGGTGTTTGCATTAGTGAAAAAGCAGAACACTTACCTATGAAGGAGACGATACTGAAACAC